CAAAGGGAGGTGACCCATGCCTCATCCAGGGCGTTTGCCCTCCTGCATGGTCAGTGTTTTCTAGCAAGGTTTAACCTCCCCAAGCCTCTTATATGTCCTGCTCATGCTTGATATCTGCTCCCCCCAACCATCTTGTGGTTGGTTGGTGCTGCAGTCAACCATTTATCATGGGGGGTGGGGGGGAGAATCACTGTTGTGATCTCATTTAAAAACAGATGGAGCATGTTGCAGAGAGATGATCTGGTCAAATCAAAGAACAATGTGAAATCAATATGAAAATGACACGAATAAAATAATGTCTTGAAAAGAGGTTTTGAGAATGATTTCAGTATTTTGCACTATTTTCTCAGTTCCCTGATTTATGCACCAGAATAAAGGAGATTGTTGCAGAAAAGGAGATTATTGGTTAGGAGCCTAGACTAAACAGATGGAATTTTTTCATATGGAGAGCAAATGAGAAAGAAATAAGACCATCATCAAGACAAAGATGAGAAGAGAGCTGTACATGCAGCAGAGAATTACCCTACCTGCCCTATTACAGATGCAACAAGACTTCCTGAACTGAACACGATGACAAGCATCATGCTAGAGATTCCCCATGGAAATACTTATATTTATAGAGTCTCAAATCTAATTGAGAAAAAACAATTTGGTTCAGATCTTCTAGTCTGCAAGCAGGTCAAGGATCCATTAAGCTCATTGCTGTAATATAAAATTAACTTATTTATTGAAGAATCTAAGTGCTACTCTGTGTACTGAAACCGCTGTCTCTGCAGAAAAGGATTCAGAAGCTGCAAAAGTGATGCTAAGGGGAAAAATGACAAGCCTCTAAGAAACTGGCCATTAATTCACTTCAGCCTTTGGAACTTTAAACATCAGCAGGGAACCCAGAAAATGTGGGAGATGCAAGATACTAAGGAGTACAGAAGGGACAATTTATTGCTGCCTTGGGCAGCCAATAGCACAGAAAGAGCCAAGAACTAGGATGCCAAAATCTCATCCTGTACACTTTTATTGTTCCTATCCAGTGTACATTTACCATACATCATTCTAAGAGAAGCAGCAGTTGTGAGAACTTTTTGTTCTCTGTAAGAACTGATCCTGCTTGTAGCAAACTGAAGGGGAATCTTTCCAAGAGTTCAAACAGGAATAGTTCCGTCAGAAGGTAAAGCGTGGCCTCTCCATACACTGTGTGAATAAGGAGGGGGGAAAAAAGAAACAATGGAAATTCCTCTCTTTAAAAAAAACCTGCAACTATTTTGGGCCTGACTTTGCAACCCTCACACAAGTAATGCCAGGGGGTGAAAGTTTCAAAAGCACGTAAGCAACTTAAGAGCCTAACTACCACGCAATTTAGACACTTTTGAAAACATTATCCATGGACTTCAACAGGCTACACTTATGCACAAAGCTTTACTTTGCTCTTAAAAGACCTGATTTGCATTTAACTTCAAGCTAATGAATAATTCCACCCCTATTCAGGAAAGCCACAAATCATATACTTAAAGTCAAGCATGTATTTAAGTCTCACTGAAGCCAAATATACTCTTCATGAACAAAATTTCCTATAAATTACCACATATTTCACTTTTGTAGTGCTGGAGATCTACCTCCTCTCTTAAGAACTGGTATGATTATCATTCTAGTGCAGCATCTGTACAGTGTTCTGCATAACAAATGAAATTTAAAACTAGGCTCTGTGCTCCTAAGGACACATTTTAATAAAAGGAAAGAAAAGAATAATCCCTTCTCAAGGAGAGATGCTCAATATCTTTTCAGAACACGGAAAAGTCTCCCTCTGCATCATTCTGTCCTTAAAAATGGGCTTTACATTACTATATATTACATATAGACATCCCAGTTTGCTGCTCCCCCTGGAATATGCTCACCAACTAGATGCTATAACTCACAAAAAAAACTTCTCCTGTGGGCTACAGATTCCAAAGGAATGAAAGAAAAGAAAAATAGTGATTCCTCTATAGCCAGACAAAAGGGTCTTATTAAAAATCATGCTCTGAAAACATCTAGAAAAGTCTTTCGTGCTCTTTCCTGCTCCTTCTGAGTTAACATTCCCTGATTTATCTCTCAAAGGATAAAGCAGTGTTCTTTTACAGAGGCAGTTAATGTCATGGGGACCACACCAATTCCCACTGAAGTGTGTGGGAGTCTTTCCACTGACTTCAAGGGCAGATGGAAAGAGCCCTTACAGAACAAGATTAAAGAAAGGGGAATTTAACCCTAACATTTTATTCCAAGGGCCTTTCAAAATATTTTGAGCTAAGATAGGTATTTTCTCTCAGAAGTGCTTATGTTCATTCTTAGAGCTAGATTGTGCCTTGGATGAATTGTACCTTCAAGTATGTGGGAGTAAGAAACCTTCCCCCACCTTTATACCCTTCTGCAGGCTGGACCTTGGAGCTGGGACACAGAGTTAAACAAGTTCACTTACTGCCCTGCTGGGCAGTGAATGGCTGGAGCCTTGGCTCCAACCACCTTCCAACCCACCAGCCAGTACAGCTGGGCTGGTGCAGGGGAAACTGTAATTTGCTGATGGGGCACAGTCCAGCAGCAAATTGTGTCTGGCAAGGGGGCAGCAGGGGAGGGATATTGCTGGGATGGTGCATTTACGCACCACCCCTTGCTCAAGCCAGTGTCAAAAGGTAGAATCTAGACCTTACACACATCACCTGATAATGGTTTCAGGCAATTAAATGGAATCACACACTCTGTACTAATCTGATAAAATCTTGTTTATGGCTTCTGAGAGAACACCAGCAGAATTCCGCTAACTCAGTGGTCCCCAACACGGTGCCCGTGGGCGCCATGGCGCCCGCCGGGGAATCCATGTGCGCCCGCGTACTGGCCGGCAGACAAGCATCCACCGAAATGCCGCCGACAAGCAGCGTCATCCAGAGGCGTCGCCACCGAAATGCCACCGACAAAAAAGGTTGGGGACCACTGCACTAAACGTTCCACCATCAAAAGACATTACACCTGGCAGCAACTCTGATTCAACAATATTGTTAACCTGAGGACGTATCCCATAAGAATGGCTATAATGGGTCAGACCAATGGTCCATCTAGCCCACTATCCTCTCTTCCCACAGTGGCCAGATGCTGCAGAGGGATCAAACAGAACAGGAAAATTATTCCCTGTCATCCAGTCCCTGCTTCGGTCAGTCAGAGGTTTAGAGGCACCCAGAGCATGGGGTTGGGTCCCTGACTATCTTGGCTAATAGCTATTGATGGACCTATCCTCCATGAACTTATCTTTTTGAAGCCGGTTATACTTCTGGCTTTCACAACATCCCCTGGCAACGAGTTCTACAGGTTGACTGTGCATTGTGTGAAAGAAGAGCTACCTTTTGTTTTAAGGCTGCTGCCTATTAATTTCAATGAGTGACTACTGGTTCGTGTGTTACGTGAAGGGATAAATAACACTTCCTTATTCACTGACTCCACACTATTCATGATTTTATAGACCTCTATCATCGCCCAAGTCATCTTTCTTCTAAGCTGAACAGTTTCAGTCTTTTTCATCTCTCCTCAGACAGAAGCTGTTCCATACACCAGATCATTTCTGTTGCCCTTTTCTGTACTTGTTCCAGTTGTTGTGTATCTTTTTTGAGATGGGGCAACCAGAATGGCATATGGTATTCAAGTATTCTCCCCAACAAAGAGCATGCTGAATCTCTCCCACTAATGAGACCATTCTTCAACGGGTTCCTTAGCCTGCTGTTACATTTGCATAGCTAATATGTTTCCCCTCTTAGTATGATTTTTATTTAAACATCTAATCCAAATGTGATAGAAAAAGTCATGAGAAAATAATTATATGACATTTTTCAAAACAATTTTAGCTTCAGGAGAAGCAATAGAGAAATTAAGCCCCCTGAGAAAATGTTTACTCACTTATGCTAATATTAAGTTACAAATCCATTTATCAATTTATATACGTACTCAAATATTTTTGCCAGAAAAAAGAATTCCTTTGGTAATATTGAAGAATATATATTATGCTGTGCACTGCTTGGTAGTCAAGTCTAGCAATGAATTATTCTTTTTTTTTTTTAAGAGGGGGCACTGTAAAAATAAAAATCACAGTATAATAAAAATAATTTCTCATATCTGGAATAATTTTTCACCATTTATGATGCTGTTCATTTTAGGACCCAATCCAGCAAAGCAGTTAAGCACATGCTTAAATACAAGCCTCTGGAGCAGTCCCACTGAAATAAAAATGGAACTGCTCTGTGTGCTCAGAGTTAGGCATGTGTTTTGCTGGATTGAGGGCATTTTTGCATTTTCTTCAGCTTTATGGGCAATGAAACTAGATGGGCAATTTCATTTCCTTTTTAGTAAATTTCACTGCTGGGTTTCTCATGTACCATCCTAAGGCTATTGTTTTTGGATTTCCATTTTTAGGAGGGGGAGCATGGACGATTGAGATTACAAAAACAAACATTTTGTTTTCTATTTTTTTAAAAAGTTATGAAAACATTTACATTAGATTTAATAAAAACTAAATTTTGGGCCTAAACTAAGATGACAGGATCTGTGTGCTTACATATAATTATTAAAGAAATAGTATGTAAGTCATGTGCTAAGCTATTTTTAGTTTACCTTTTGAAAGTTATAATGAACTAATATTTCCACATAAAAATTAAGGTTCAGTGCTTCCCTACATAGGAATAACCTACCCAAGGTGTGATACTTCCCAAGTTTGTACTAGATCTGTTTACTTCCAATTCTCTTTCAAGAGAGGAAGTTTTGCCAGTTTAAGGACAGCAGGATCCAGCCTTTAACTTGAAAGAAGATGGTCAAATACATTTTAAAAGCAAAACTGCATTAAAAAAAGTTAGCTGAAAAGTCTGCCGGAAACGCCAGATTATTATGGTCTTCATCAAGACATCACTTTTTGCACAGGAAGTGAAGACTAAAATACCATTTGTGTAAATCAGTGTGGGTCCATCACACTGTCTGTTTGAACCATTACTAACCTGTATCATGTACAGCTGGGCAATCCGATACTCTTCCACACTCATTGGAATTGGAATACGATATTCCTTTATAAGCATCTTGAAGTCCAAGCCTTTTTGTCAGTTCAGAAATGCAATCCAGATATTTCTAGTAAAGTCTCCTTAAATAATGGTAAGTGAGTGCATTGAGGACCCCTGAAATAAAAACAGAGAGATGCAATTATTTTCTGCACTGATTAAACGTAATAATTTAATCTCCAGAGACATTAATTTATCTTAAAACAAGAAAGAAAAATCCCTTGATTGTTACTCTGGAACCGGTATCAAGTTGAACAGACTCTTTTAGAAGAATTTTGATTTGCTACAGGGGACACCCTCAAAGCTATTGCACTAGGGACCTTTGCCACCATATCAATCAGATTTTTATATGTAACATCTCCACGGCTGAGATATGACACAGCTGAAAATGAAAAAGTTAAGCTTTTGTTGTAGGACAATAATGTATCTCTCCAATGTCAGTGACACATCAGAGATGTAGCCACTCAGAGACGTCAGATCTTCTTATCCTCTTACATGATTGCTCTGCAGCTGACAAAAGAGACTAATTAGGAGACTTCCTCAGCCCTCGATAACACCACATTGGAGAACTTAAATTGGACTCTAACAAAGAGGTCTGTAAAAACGTACTTTTCTTCCCATTATTATTAACAGCATCCATTCTCTTTTCCCTCCAATGAAGTCCAGGGATTAAATCCTCCCTCCATTGAAGTAAATGGCAGAACTTGTTTTACACACCCATAGCATAAGTTAACAGCATTAGATCAAACTTCAAGTCAGAAAAGAAGTCCTACAATACACAGCTTCTGTGCAATTTAAAAGAAAATAGGACTGATCAACACAGAGGGCTAAGAGAGCAACTTTCGGAGTACCGCCAGGACACGGCAGACGAGGGGTGGTGGCTGTAGCAGTACAAAACATAGAAATGGAGAGAAGAAAGGTGAGGAGAGGAGGGAGCATAGAACACTGAATCGTGACTGCAAAACTCCCTCTGGCAGTCAGACCTGTAAATCTGTCTAGTAGTCCCATGGGCAGATTATCCAAGATAACACCAACCTCAGCAGCATTACGGGATAACATTGTCACTAGAATAAATGATTTTTAAAAACAGTTTCCCCAGCACATAAACCCCAAATGCCTTTCCTTCTACAGCAAGCATACAGGCCTCTTGTCACATCTGCTTAGTGAAACTGTTCCGATATAATTCTCGCAAAAAACAGAGGAAAAATCCTTTTATTGTGTTTACAAGGAGGCAGAAAAAGAGCTGTACAGGGGACCTTAAAACTTTTGAGTGATTGACTTTCTAACCTGAATAATGTTCTTTTAACCTAGATTTTTGTATCTGGTTACATTATATTTTTTCATAAAAGAACATCTAATGGAAAAGCAGAGAAAAAATTGTTTAATGACTCATTCACAGGGTGGGCAATTTCAGGATCTTACACTTGCTTACAGAAGTAACAGGTTTCAGAGTGGTAGCCGTGTTAATCTGTATCAGCAAAAACAATGAGGAGTCGTTGTGGCACCTTAGAGACTAACAAATTTATTTGGGCATAAGCTTTTGTGGGCTAAAACCCACTTCATCAGATGCATGGAGTGAAAAATACAGTAATACACACACACACAAAAACAGAGCACATGAAAAGATGGGAAAGATGGGAGTTGCCTTACCAAGTGGGGGGTCAGTGCTAATGAGGCCAATTCAATTAAGGTGGAAGTGGCCTATTCTCAACAGTTGACAAGAAGGGGTGAGTATCAGCAGAGGGAAAATTACTTTTTGTAGTAATGGGTCACTACAGAAAGTAATTTTTCCCTCTGCTGATACTCACCCCTTCTTGTCAACTGTTGAGAATAAGCCACTTCCACCTTAATTGAATTGGCCTCATTAGCACTGACCCCACACTTGGTAAGGCAACTCCCATGATGAAGTGGGTTTTAGCCCACGAAAGCTTACGCCCAAGTAAATTTGTTAGTCTCTAAGGTGCCACAAGGACTCCTCGTTGTTTTTACAGAAGTAAGATACTGTAGTGATACAAAAGAAACAACATGCTTCTATAAGGTGTACTTCCATTTCTCATTTCAAAATCAGGTGAATATTGGTTTGCATTATTTATTGTGTATATTTAGAAAGTTAGAATAAGATGTTCTACCACTAGACAAGATTTTAACTCCCTCAAACAAAACAGAGGAAGTAAAAATTGTTAATGTTTCCATACTCAAAGAACGAAACACGTACTTTCAATCTGAATGATTTTAGATTAATGAAAACAACAAGAACTCCATGTAAAGTCTCCATGAGAATGCACACTGTATGCCTCCTGTAACAGCTGCTGTGACTGATGACAATCTGGCTGCTGTCCCTGAAGAGAAGCAATCTTTAGAAACGCGAAGGTGCAGTACACGGAAAATAAAGGCATCCCAATTTCAAGATTGATACCACAGAAAAACTATGTGCACCAGGGCAAAAAATTTGGTAAACTTACTGTAATAACTCCAAGAAAAGCGTGGCTGAGTTCTCCAACCTTGTCGAAGGATTCCACCCACGCTAAACGTTAGCTTCCAAATTCACGTTTTTGCTAACAGAGGGCCAGAGCTGTTCAGTAGAGTGAAAGCACAGTCCACTAGCTCATTATACAGCAAGATGCCTGCCTAGCTTAATACAGATAATACATTAAATCCTAAAATTTGCTTTAGTGATAATGATCCCACAAAAGCCACATGATCTAGTGAATTAAGCAGAGGGCAGGAAGTCTGGGAGCACTGAGTTCCTGTCCCACCGCTCTCACTGAGGGCCCCTAATAATACTTGGCACTTACACCGCACTTTATTGACATTAAATAAGGCTTGGCGATACTAAATGATATGCCCAAATCACAGAGTACATGAGCATCAGAACCAGGATTAGAACCCAGGCTCCTCCTTACTCCTGTCTTGTGCCTAAACCACATTGTGCCATGCCAAGAAGCACTCTCTTATAAGCAAGTTTAGACCCAATCCTGCAAACACCTACACACATTCCTGAGTTTATGCAATGGGAATATTAACACTTAACACACTTGTGTAAGTGTTAGCAGGATGGGGGTGGAAGGTTGCTGGGGTATTTACATAGGGGCTCTAAGTCTTTTTTTTTATTATTATTTTTATTATTAAGGGGAGGTAATAAAACAAACCTATCTCACTGCTCACTGACTTGCCCAGAATAATTACCTGTCTGGCACTGAATTTTAAATGTATTTTTTTCATTTTTAATTCTGTTTCATGGCATTTTATTGCTTTTAAATTATTATTATTACTCCTGTCAGCGCAACCCCAGGGAAAATTTCCCTGACATGACAGACCCTGCGGGGAATACTTCTGTCAAGACAACCCCCGACACACACGCGTGTGTGCATTCTACCAAAATAATTTCTCTGGCAGGCTAATCCACTAGGAGAACATTCCAGAAAGGGGTGTGGATAATCTTAAGAGGCTTTTAATTAATGTTATGGAACAAAGCAATAATATTTAATAGAGATAGGCCCTGAACAACACCCTCCCCCCAAGATCAGAACATATCTGACCTTCCAAGGAGAAGCCGGCATCCGAACTTTTAAAGCAGGAGGTTTAACATAACGTTTGGCTGCTTGTGTGGGGTGGAACAGTTCAGTCTACGTAGTGATCTTTTAAAATTTACGTTAAAATCTTTTTCAGATGCTTTGAAACGGTGTCACAGGCACATCAGGTGCATCCATCCCCTGCCTGTCTTCGCGCGCTTGTTAAAAACAGGGTATTTCAGTCGATTATAAGAGATGAATAAAACAAAAGAGCATCTTAGGAGCAATAAAATGGCAGGAAACAGGTATTGGGATGAAGAAAAAGTGTTTATAATTCAGTGTCAGACAGGTAATAAATAATAATTCAGACAGACTCAGGCAACCAAGACACAAGATGGTTTATTTTACTGCATCCTTTAAATAAAAAAAAAGGCCCTAGGGCCGCAAGCACATACAGTAGCAGCCACCAGCAGGCTCAACTTGCACGTGGTCTTTGAGTTTCAGGCCCCCCTTGAATAGCCTGTCTTGGTTACAGAAATGGGCAGCGATCTAGCTCACATCTCAGTTTTTATGAGAGATGAGCAAGCCCTCGCTGCAAAGCTCCCCTCCAGGTGTGGCCTTTCCAAAAGTTCAGTGCGTTCAGAGCCAAGGTTTTGGTTTGGCCCAATATGTGACTGACAAGTCTCCTGTTGCCTAGACCCACCAAGCACTCCACAAAAGAGCAGGACCAGAGGATCCGCCCATCTGGACTGTCCTTTTCTGAATTCCTCCTGTGGCTCTGTTCCACTGCTTGGGTCCCATCCTGCACTTAAGGAAGCCTGCCATGGCAGATGCATACACATCCTCCACAAAACATAGTCTAAAGCAGCAACTACCCTTCTGAAGGAAACTGAGCTGAAATGCCACATTTCATTTTCAACTTCAAGCTATGTGTGCCAGTCAGCCAATGTACCCAGGATAAGGATCAGCAGCTTGGTCCTGAGGGAGGGACATCAAGCACTCGGCACACATAAAGCAAATTTTTAAGTCAGTCTGAGTTAAAAAAAATGTGGAAAAATTTGGAGTCTGGGCTGCCTTTAACCTGAAAAATAGCAACCTGTGTCAAACATTGCAGTTTGACTTAGTGGCAACCCAGGAAAACGCATTGTATTGGGAAGGATAAAATACGGATATTGTCCAGATTCAGATGTGAGATATATCCATGCAAATTGGGAGTTAATGCACCGAATCAGCAGTGTTATTCCCAATTCACACTGATGGACAGCGGCTGTCCTTGTAAAGACGTTTTGATGGTCATAGATAAGCAGATAGCATGACCTTAGTATTTGCAGTATTCCCGGTACCAAGTATAGTCAATACTGCAAATACTGCACAGAGGTAATGTTATCTAAAGCAAAAACAGAAAGCTTTTAAGGGTGACTACCAGTGAGAGATCAGAACAAGGCTCTAGAGCAGGGCTGTCAACAGTCTGTGAATTGGGATCAATTAACGTTTATTTACAGTCTGTGGGCCAGGTCTACACAGGTATAGACTAGCCCAATCCACTGCTGAATCCCCACCGCTTAAAGTGGGGGGTTGTGCAAAGAGGTGGAATATGGCCATTAG